AACGTCTCTAAGTTTCTTTAGCATATGAACCATAAATTTGAAAGAATATGCCACAGAGTAGTTTCTGGCTGTATAGTTTCAACCCTTTTGTCCTCCAGAACATACACATTTCCCATCCTGGGGGCCGCAGGGTATGGGTGTATTACATCATGACCTCTGGTCCTGTACCTCTTTTCCAGCATTGGGTGATTGTGTGCAATGGGCAGTAGGAATACTCTAGATGCCATTTCTACACAGAATACTACAATAACCCAGCCATCAATGAAAGTAATTATTCTCCAATAAATAGGTCCCAGCAAATCTAGCCTGAATGCATCCCAACTCAACTTTCTTTTTTCTTTTTCTTTTTTTTTTTTTTTTTTTTTAGACGGAGTCTGGCTCTGCCACCCAGGCTGGAGTGCAGTGGCTGGTTCTCAGCTCACTGCAAGCTCCGCCTCCCGGGTTTACGCCATTCTCCTGCCTCAGCCTCCCGAGTAGCTGGGACTACAGGCGCCCGCCACCTCACCCAGCTACTTTTTGTATTTTTTAGTAGAGACGGAGTTTCACCGTGTTAGCCAGGATGGTCTCGATCTCCTGACCTCGTGATCCACCCGTCTCGGCCTCCCAAAGTGCCCAACTCAACTTTCTTCAACTCGGTTTCAAAAGTAACCACAGCCAATTGGACACTACCCAACATTACAGAAGGAAGCTGGGGTGTAAAGAAGACAGCAGCTATGTCATTTGCAGTTAAAACATTTTGCTTTTGCACATTTGTAAAGGTATGTGACTATGTGAACACAGTGCTAATGCCCCTCGCAGAACCTGGAAAGGGATTCGTACAAGTAAGGGGCCTTGAAACCCAAGCTTTTGTAGCTCCACAGTAAATCCACTCCTGCCAACAACTTATGGTATTTTTACGTACAAAGTAGACAGTCAAAAAATGTTTGGCAAACTAATAAATGAAAGAAAGAATCATGCATTAAAATACATTTTAATACGTCTTCCTTAGCTTTGCTGAATCAAAGTGTCCTTCAAATTAAATGGAACCCATTAACTGTAGGTTACATTTATCATATTAAAACTGTGCTCAATAACTGAGTGGTTTGGGATCTGTTCTCAGTTCAAAATATGTCAAGGAGATTTATTAATTATAAGCACAGATATATTGACCTTTTCCTTTTTCTTCCTATGGGGAAATTAAACATTTCTATGTAACTTTGCTACCCTATCAAGTGTGCTTCCTCACATGTATACTCTAAGCAGAGCAATTACTTGGAATGTCTTTTTACTAAAATTATGGACAAACTTTTTTCAGTGCCTATGTTACAATTGCCTTTTTATGAAGGACAAATACTACTCTGTGGCATTTATTTCATTATTTTGTGGCTTCTAGGGAAAGAATTGTGTGAATAATTTTTAAGTGATGTTGTAGTAGAAGGAGCTGAAAAATTGAAGACCTATATTTTCCAGGTGGGGTAAAAATATAGATTTATTCAAATTTTAGTTTAATTGTAAAACAGAGTTCATGTTAGAAAGAAGATTGGGGCATCAGGTAAGAAACTCCGTATTGGGCTGGGCCTGGTGGCTCACACCTGTAATTCCAGTACTTTGGGAGGCTGAAGCAGGTGAATCACTTGAGACATGGAGTTCAAGACAAGCCTGGGCAAAACAGTGAAAACCCATCTCCACAAAAAATACAAAAGTTGACTGGATGTGGTGGTATATTCCTGTAGTCCCAGCTACTTGGAAGGCTGAGGAGGGAGGATCACCCGAGCCCAGGAAGTCGAAACTGCAGTGAGCTGAGATGGCACCACTGCATTCCAGCCTGCGCAACAGAGTGAGACCCTGTCTCCAAAAAAAAGAGAAACCTCCTATTGAATGAGGGTTCCTGGCCTTTAATATGCTCCTTTCTTTTTCTTGCCCAGGGCTAGCATATCAGTCTCTCTGGTCATTAGAAAGTGCCTATAAAATCAAATGAGCTCTTGTAAACCTGCCTCTGAGTATATATTTATGTACCACTGAAAAATGGTGTGCCACCTTCTGGACCTGGAGTCCATCAGAGAATGCCAACATCAGAATGTTTCTTGCAGATGCTGATTTTTTCCACTTGACATTCAAATTGAGACAGTTGGGAGAAGATGAAAAGCTACTGGGCAAATAATGGTATACTGACAGAAGAGTGGCGACCTTCCTGAGGGGCTTTCTTCCGCATGCTTAGTTTAGGAAAATGGAATTCTGTGATGCTGTGAGTGGAAATACAAGGCCTTGATTGGACCCATCAACCATGATTCAAATTACAGGCACTATTTCCCACCTTTATGTGACTGCCTCTTTTTAACACTTTTTACTTTTTTAACATTTCAAATTAATTTTGGGGCCTAATTGGAAGATACGTAATGGTTAGCACGAAAAGACAAATAAAGGTGCAACCATCTGTTTTTGAAATGCTGGGGAAAGAGAATATACATATCCATTTGAAGGTAGACTTTTCTCTTAGGTGATATGTGATTGATTGTAAGTCATACTTTGAGGTGTCCTTTCAGAGAGCGTGTTCCTGGGCACATTCACTTCCTGATTGCAGTAAAATCTTTTAAAATCTCTGGCGGGTAATTTGCTGCTGTACTGCTGCTTACTACAACTTGAGGTAGGGAGAAAGAAATCAGTTTAAAAGGATTAAGAAAATGAATAATAATCGTTGACTGTCTATTAAAAACCCTTCACAGTGTGTAGGTCTTGTTTATAAGCGAGTAGACGAGAAATAGAGCAAGCTGTACTTTATCAGTAAAGCACAGACATATTTCAGCATGACTAGAAAAAGATAAAGATTTTTTTCCACCCCTTGGCTTCATTCAGCTGGTGTAATGAGCATTATTGATTAAAATGTTAGGATCAATAAACATTTAAAATTGGAGTGGAGGAGACCTTGAGGAGGAGAAAAAGGTTACGCTCTGTTGAGTAAACTGGCAATTAAATGCTTTGTAGACAACTAATTTTTTTTTTCTCTTTTTTGAGATGGAGTCTCGCTCTGTCGCCCAGGCTGGAGTGCAGTGGCGCCATCTCAGCTCACTGCAAGCTCCGCCTCCCGGGTTCACGCCATTCTCCTGCCTTAGCCTCCTGAGTAGCGGGGACTACAGGCACCCGCCACCACGCCCAGCTAATTTTTTGTATTTTTAGTAGACACGGGGTTTCACCATGTTAGCCATGATGATCTCAATCTTCTGACCTCGTGATCCACCTGCCTCAGCCTTCCAAAGTGCTGTGATTACAGGCATGAGCCACTGTGCCCGGCGGAAAACTGATTTTTTAAACATGAACTGTTAGTTATACTGCTTGGCCTTCATTGGCATAGACTGTTCTGCGGCTCACGTGTACATGTAAAACAATATGCATTGTTATCAGACTCACACACTGAAAGTTTGTGAACATCATGTACAACTAGAACTTAATAATGAAACTTTAGCGCACCTGGACATGTGTTAATAATAATAATGAATTCTCTGCAATGACAATGAGAAAGCTGCCTCTTGAGTCATTTAACAGCCAATGGAACTTACGTATTTCTCCTTAGAATGCAGTTATGTGTAATCACACAGTTGCACTTTGTGAGGTTCTGATATTACAACAGTAATGTTTTAAATCCCTGTCTCCTCTTTTTCTTAATTATCAGTGTCAAAACCTACCAAATGCATTGGACTTCTGTGTTAGAGCCTCATAACCAAGAACTTCCGTGTAACAGCCTCATAACCAATGAGTTAGATATTTCTCCCATAGAAACAATTGCACTGTAGAACTTACTTTTATTTGCAGGGAAAAATACTAGACAGATCTAGGAGAATATACAAATAAAACAACAAACTACAGGGAGGTAAGTGCAAAAATAAGGAAAAGGCTAATTAAAATATGAATATGTTAAAAAAAAAACAAGTAAAACAAAATCCATTAATACAATTTTAGGAGAAGCATCTAAAATTGACAGTTTTTATGAAATGCATGCAAAAGATACTCTTAAAAGAACAATTCAGAGACCAGCACCTGAAAATGTTAACAAATAAACATTGGCTTTAAGGGTTACTATAGAGATCAATGTGGTAGAACATAAAAGAATGCCTTAAAGAGAAGGAAAAGAACAGCCAGGCACAGTGGTTCACGCCTGTAATCCCAGCACTTTGGGAGTCCATCCTGGCCAACATGGTGAAACCCCGTATCTACCAAAAACACAAAATTAGCTGGGTGTGGTGGCACGCACCTGTAATCCCAGCTAGTTGGGAGACTGAGGCAGGAGAATCGCTTGAACCTCGGAGGCAGAGGTTGCAGTGAGCTGAGAGTGCGCTACTGCACTCCAGCCTGGCGACAGAGCGAGACTCCGTCTCAAAAAAAAAAAAAAAAAAAAGAGAGAGAGAGAGAGAAAGAAAAGAACAAAGACTCACCAGTCACTAAATGCTGGTTAGAATACTTCCCTCAGGGCTACTCTGGGTATCACATTTCTATATAACTAGTTATGAGTTCCTTTTGGAACTTTTACAAATGCGCTTTTAGATTGGGTCCAATAAACACATTTTAAAAAATCAATTCTGACCTCAATAAATAGTAATTTCACTGTTTATTCTTCTACAATATTTGTGCATAAATCACTATAAATCTATTAATTATCAATATCTAGAAGTTAATGATAAATATTCTTTAGTCATTTCTTCTAAATTACATGAAATGTCATTAAAGAATAATACTCAGGAATAAAACTTGTTCTAATTCTGGTTATTTAATTTTCTGTAGATAAGTGCTCTTATAAACATAGTTCATCATGGGTTTGTTTTAAATTTAAATACTTAATTTCTGACCCCAGTAGTGTACCTTTATAATCTATTTTTAAACTGGTGTTCTATGTAGAAAAATCAGCGGTTCGTTGTCTAGCCACTTTTATTTTGGCTGGTGCCTTCTGAATTTGCAATTAGTAATCCACATCATCTCAAAGGGTGTATCAGGAATCATGGGGTCTGACTTGCCCTTGCCTTGACCCCCAGGTGCACCCTGAGCGTGACGCTGGAGCAAGCCATCATTTTGGCCAGAAGCCACGGATTGCCACCTCGCTACATCATGCAGGCTACAGATGTGATGCGGAAGCAGGTAGGTCTCATGGAGACTTGAGAAGAGTTGTTTTGTAGGCCCTGGACTTGAAGATTCCTTTGTTCATTTATCAGGGGTCTGACAGGTGCCTGGATGTGATGTACAGTTTACTAGGCTCAAAGGTAACTCATGAATGAGAAATGCTCCCAGGGAGAAGATGCTGCAGGCACCAGTGTGAGGTTCTGCAAGAATCTTAGAGAATTCTGGAAAAAGGGATGTCTATGCAGTAATCTGCAGTCAGAAAGGGACTTGACTAAGTGGAATAAAGTAGCAGTGAATTTGGCGTTTATGTAAGGAACAAGTAAAAGCACATATGGCATTTTTTGGCAATTGTTAGTGGTAAAGCTTGAGGTGGAGAGGGATAGGGGCAAGGAAGAAGAGGAAAGAATTGAGGGTCCTGCTGGCTCCTGGTGATGCCAAGGGACTTTCATGCCATACTCAGCGTGTACATTAATCCAAGGATAAAGCACTTACCTCGAATTTTCCTTTAGGGGATAAATAGCAGTCTTTGGACTGTCTTTGGGTCACTGGAGTACTTACAGGCGAGAATATACTCTCTTATAAATAGAATGAACTTTATTCTATACAGTAGCTCAATAGTATTCTAAGTGTGGTGGTTTAGTTTTTAACTCTTAAAGTTATTTTTAAAAATGCACTAAGCTCCAATTTACTAATTATGAAAATGTGCTTAATCTAGCAGAAAAGATAACCTACAGAAAGACAAATCAAAAGACACAAATGTTATATGTTATTCTACCACCTTTTCTTTGGGCAACCACAATAAATTGATTTAACAAATTTCTCTACTTGCTGACTTGGTTTGAGTTGCCCAGTGAGCGATTTAGTTTTTAAGATATGCTTTATAATTATGACTACTTTGTTTATTGGAAGCTTAGTGTCTAACTCTCAGGCAGACATATAAATCCCTTTGGGCTTGCTCCCAAGACTGTATTGCAGAATGCCAACAAAGCCCATGAAAAAATCAACTGAAGAGGCCAACATCAAGCTGGTGTCTTCAATGCAGAGATCAGGCACAGGGAGAACATATTGGTACTTCTGGTTAGGGCTCAGGAGCTGAAGATTGAAAACCAAGATCTTAGAAGGTCTAAGAGATTTGTTAAGTAAAGGTTAGAACTAAGAAGCATGTGACGTACTGTGGGCCAGCTGGAAAGGATGAACACAGATGTGATTTGCCAGAAGATTTAGGAAGGACTTTTTGGACATATATACAAATTATGTTTCAAAAAGTAGATCCAGGTAAACTTACGATTATTCATATCACAGTTGAGATTTAAGTTGCTAATAAATACAGAAAGAAATTAATCAACTTTCTGTTTGATCATATTGCTTATTAGAGTAGGTTTGTGGGAAGACTTGGGAAGGGCCATCTCAAAATTATAGCTTATGACAAGCAAAAGAAACTGGAATTTATTTTTTTTAGAATATTCCACTAAGGAGGTAGTTATGAGTTGGTGACATATCCATTTCTACCTTATAGAGTTGAATAGTCATAATCATATCGAATACTTTAACTTTTTAAAACTAAAAATGGAAATAGAGAAAATAGAGATAAAGTAATATTGATATTATGTAGGCCCCAATGACTCACTTAACTGGTGTAAAGCTCTTTAAAATACAATGTAAATTATATTTATATAGTATTATTATATTGTTGTATATAAGTATAGTATAATTTGAAAAGTCATGGGATTCCTTATAAAATTCCTGTTGATATATAAACCTCACTATTTTGTCAGTATATATCACTTGTTCTTCCCCCAAATTTTTTAAAAAACTGAATACATTTGGAATAGGTAGCTTTCTTCCATTGTTACTTGTTCCTCTGCCCCAAGTTGTGACGTCCCAATGGCTATGAGAGGCAAAGAAATAAGGTTTAACTTCTTTGTGAAAGATCATAGAGCCTGGGACCCTCTTTTAAGGAAACTGGGCAGACTGGTGACCCCAGAGATTTCTTCAAAAGTCCTCCTGTCGCCGATTCTCCTTCCAGTGTTCAGCAGTAGCAGGCAGTGAGATTTGTGGCTGAGGTCCAATCCACAAGCCAACTCTTACCTACTTATGGTTTGAGCAGTTAGAATGCAAGTCTGAATGAAGGGTCCAGCTTGGATTTTCTCTCATTTTTACCTTTCAACCTCAGGGACAGTTACTTAACCATTTAGACTCAGCTGTTTAGAGACCAAGTGGTTAGATACTTGTCGTCTTCAGTATATATTGAAGTAGTTGCATTATTTCATTATCAAATTTGTATGATGATATATTAAAGAATAATATTTAGTGTCTATTACAGTTTTACAATATATAAATGAATAATATAATGAAAAAATTAAGATTTTTTAGTTTTTTTGAGAATAAGACGCTTTTTGGCATGATTTATTGTTCTTATTTACAATTTCAGTATTGTTTTCCTCTACAGATTTTGGGTGTATACTTTTCATAGAGTTGTTATTTTAACTCACTGCTTGAGTTTGAAGGAAAGATAAAAGACAGAAGAGAAGGGTACTATGTCTTTCACGATGTTTTGCTAATGATTATAACAACCTTAGGCATCACTTTATGTAACCAGGTGATTTGATTAATAAAAGGCTTGCAGTAGAAACTGTCATTTACATTATAAATTTAAATTTTTCTATGCCATAAATTATATATTTCTAGTGCTCTTTGATGGCAGCCTAGAACAAATGTTTTTTTTTTTTTTTTTTGAGACAGAGTCTCACTCTGTCGCCCAGGCTGGAGTGCAGTGGCCGGATCTCAGCTCACTGCAAGCTCCGCCTCCTGGGTTCACACCATTCTCCTGCCTCAGCCTCCTGAGTAGCTGGGACTACAGGCGTCCACCACCTCGCCTGGCTAGCTTTTTGTATTTTTTAGTAGAGACAGGGTTTCACCGTGTTAGCCAGGATGGTCTCGATCTCCTGACCTCATGATCTGCCCATCTCGACCTCCCAAAGTGCTGGGACTACAGGCATGAGCCACCGCGCCCGGGCACAAATGTCTTCTTAACCTTTTTAATAAAAACTGGGATTCCAAAGTATCCTGACCCCTTACCTTCAGTATCAAAGCATCACACTGGGCACTAAGAACAAAGACATGAGGTTGATGTGGTCCTTGCCTAATCTCACGGTGGACACGTGCATAGGAAAATCACGATGTCACGGGCACAGGCAAGCAAGTCTCTATAGGGTAACTAACCTCAGCATATCAAGACTCAGAACAGGAAGCAAATGAGTAGACTGAGCCCCTCCCTGGCTGGGATAAGTCTTACTCATTTTTGTATCACAGTTTCCCAAAATAGTACCTAGTACAAAGTAAATGCCAAAAGATGTTTGTTCAATGATTTCATTCTAACTAGGATAGCTGGAAAAGGGCTTCATGCAGAACATGAATTTATGATAGGGACTAAGAGCACAGAGTAAGTTTTTGTTTAGTTTTAGATTTAAGGGATACATGTGCAGGTTTGTTACATGGTTACGTTGCATAATGCTGGGATTTGGACTTCTATTGAACCCATCACCCCAACAGTACACATTATACCCAATGGGTAATTTTTTAATCCTGTCCCCCTTCCTTCCTCTCCCCATTTGGAGTCCGCAGTGTCTGTCGTTTCCATCTTTACGTCTATGTATACTCATTGTATCGTCCCCACTTAAAAGAGAGAACATGCAGTATTTGATTTTCTATTTAAGTGTTAATTCACTTAGGATAATGGCCTTCAGCTGCATTCAGCCTGCTACAAATAACATGATTTTATCCTTTTCATAGCATATAGTATTCCATGGTGTATATGTACCACGTTTTTTATCCAACCCACTGTTGATGGGCACTTAGGTTGGTTCCATGACTTTGCTATTGTGAATAAAAGAGAAAGACTTGTGAGCCAAGCAGCCACAATTTGAATTCCAACTCCAGTGTTGACTATCTGGGTGATTCAGGGGAATATTCTTAGCCTCTTTGGTACTTAGTTTCATCAGTATTAAAACAAGGATAATAATAGTACTTGTTTCATAGTGTTGTTGTGAGGATTAAATAAGTAAATATACTAAATGCACTTAAAACAGTGCCTGATATGGTGAGTGACCAATCGGTTATTAACTAAGATGATATTTGATTTGGAACTTGGGAGATAAATATGATGCCGACAGGACAGGAAGGGGGCAGGAAGAGTGTTTAAGTAGAAGGAGCAATATAAGCCAGAGTGTAAAAACGCAAGTAGCTGGAATGTTGAGTTTATGAACAATATAGATGAATTTAAAGTGAAATGTGCCAACTGATGTCTTCACCATGACAAGCATCAGTTTTATTTGAAACCTTTTAAGAAAGCAAACATTTTTCTTAATGGAACTACTTAATGGAAATACTATAAGGCTATAGACAAAAAGCATTGTACACAAATACTGCACACTAGTTAGTAAATCTGTTTTTCACAGGGTATGATTTAGGAATTCTAAAACTAATTTATGTGTTACTAAGAATGAACAAATAAGTTATTGTAAATAATGAGAAGCTGATTTCTCACTGTCTGAGAAAAAAGTTACAAATAAGGAAAGGAAGAAGGCTGGAATCTGGAATGAACCCTATGCTACTGGATTGAAATCACATGTATCAGTATGAACTGATAAATACACACAAAGACACATACAAATATGGATAGATGTAGTAATGACTATGGATGTATGAGTATGTTTGTATATGTAAATTAGCCCTGCCTGCTGGAAAGGCCTACTTGCAGTTATCCTCCCAGTAGTAAAGAGCTCACTCAGTGTCCAAATCTTGGCTTCTAAATACCATTCCCCAATAAAAATAGCCAGGGCCCCTTGGAGAAATGGTAAATTACCAGATGAGACAAGAAAGAGAAGTCTGGAACATCTTGAGGTGCCAGAAAATAAAGGAGTACTAAACAATGATGGCAGCATATTAAAAAGGCACAAGAAACAACCAGAAAGAGCTCCCAGTGGCCAAAACTGAAACAATTTTAGCAAAAAAAAAAAAATAATAATAATAATAAGTATTGGATTATATCTCATAGAATAAAATAATTATGAGTCCACACTGATTTAAATACATACTTGAATAAATAAATAATTTAGAGAGAAGAGATTACTCTTTTTAACAGAATTCCAGTCCATAACAAAACAATATTATTGTTGTAGACAAGATACAGCAACGGAGGCTAAAATCAGTGAGTGAAAGTTTGAAGAGAAACAGGATATTGCATAGTCTCATAGTATATCCCCAAACATATTTATTAACTACAGAAAAAAAAAGCAATGAGTAACTTTACAGTGGCAAAATCTGGCAGACACCAAAGTGATCAAAGTTAATGTTAGCGGTGATAAGATATGACGACATCCTGTATCCCCTGATAGGATGCACTGAGAAGGGCATGACATCACTTCTGTGATTTTCTTGCCCCAAGTGCATTTCCTGTTTCTAATCATGAGCAAACATCAGACACACCCAAACTGAGACATTTTGCAAAGGAATAACCAATACTTATCAAGAGTGTTAAGGTCATGAAAGGCAGGAAGAACCTAAGGAACTGGCAGAGATTGGAGGGGAATAAGGAGACATGTAAGCAAAAAGCAATATGGGATCCTAGGTTGGATCTTAGAACAGAAAAGATACCTTAGTGGGAGAAAATGAAGAAATTTGAATAAGATGTGCAGTTTAGTTGATAATATTGTACCAATGGTAACTCTTGGTTTTAATAATCATACTGTGGTTAAGTGAAGAGTTAACGTTAGGGGAAGCCACATGGAGTATGTAAAGTCTCAGTTCTGTCTGTATTTTTCGCTAAGTGTAAAATTACTTCAAAATAAACAGTTTTCTTTGTTTGTTTCTTTGTTTTTGTTTTTAAAGACTGGTCAAGTGCAGTGGGGAAAAGTGGGGAAAGAGCAGAACAATGAGTTCAATTGATCTGTAACTGTCTGTGAACAGTCAGTTGAGATAACTGCTTTTGGATTAGCCAAAATAGTTTTTCTTAAGTCCATAATTGCAATTCCTAAATTTCTTCCCATCTTTCTTTTTGATGCCACACTCCCTTCCCTATTTGTTTTCCTATTTTACGTCCTTTTTGAGAGAATATGTTATTTTTTTCCTTCTTTTTATCTTGTTTCTTTCCTTAGTTCAGAATGTAGTAGCTGGAGAGAGAGTTTCAGAGTTTTTGGACAACTCTCCTTAACCTATTCCAAACCCCAAACTCTGGTATTTGGTCCTATGTAGTAATTAATTTTCATGAGAACTAAAGTGATTATAACTTCATTCATGAACTTGACAGACTGTGAAGACTTTTTCATTGCCAAAGTAGGTTGTATTATAAACTCTGAGGCAGAATTACTAGGTTTCATAGATCTGCATGGACGTGGCTTGTCCAGAAATTGCTTCAGAAGTAGTTAAGAAAATATTTTTTTGCTAGGTAGTGGTAAACTTAAAATAGTTAATGATTCAGGTAAGAAAAAAAACAGGTGTGATAAAACTGTGATTTCTGTTCCAGAAAAGTGGTAACACAGAGCAGGTATTTATACTGTGCTCATTTACTATTTTCAACATCTTTTTAAAATTTTTATTTATTTTTATTATTTTTCTTTTCTTTTTTTTTTTTTTTTGAGACAGGGTCTCACTCTGTCTCCCAGGCTGGAGTACAGTGGCACAAATATAGCTCACTGTAGCCTCAACCTCCTAGGCTCAAGCAATCCTCCTACTTTAGCCTTTCGAGTAGCTGGGACCACAGTTGAGTAGCCATGCCTGGCTAATTTTTGTATTTTTTTAGAGACAGTCTCACTATGTTTCCCAGGATGGTCTTGAATTCCCAGGCTTTAGTAATCCTTCCACCTTGGCCCCTCAAAGTGCTGGAATTACAGGCATGAGCCACTGTGCCTGACCTGTTTTCAACATCTGAAGTATTGATTGCTTCTAGGAATAAAGACAAAGCAACCTAACAGCACATTTTTTATTAAAAGCATTAATTTTGAAAATGCTCTGACGGCGATATCTGTCTTTCTCTTGGCTAATCTCCCTTGAAGTTAAAGACATTGTTGGAATAAGTATCCTACACATAGATGTTAATGGTGTGTTAAATGATTACTAACACATTGTAGGGATAAAAATGATTTTCCTGACTTTCAGGGAGCAAGAGTTCAGAACACAGCGAAGAATTTGGGAGTCAGAGACCGGACCCCACAGTCTGCACCAAGGTAAGTGCTTCCCCTGCTGTGCCCTTGCCCGAAAGATTTGCCAGCATTTTCCCGGCAGCGTCCCTCTGCTAATGCAACTGATCTAGGATATGCCCCGTGTCATACTGATTGTAATTACAGAGATTGCCCTTGAAACACCCAATGGCTAAGTATGATTACACATAAATGCTCTCAGAAATAAATGGATATTATTCTATTTTGCAAGTACTATCATGAATTCAAAAAGAAAAGCTCACACAGGCACTGCTAAAATTTGAAATCCAGTCATGCCAAACAACCGAGATGACATTTTCATTTATACTTCTGTGACTGTACATGCTGTTCCTTCTAGCATGATTGCCTTTCCTACATGTGTTTGTATGGAAAACTCCTATTTCACTGCAAAACCTAGCTTAGATGTCA